CTCTCTCTCTCTCTCTCTCTCTCTCCCTCTCTCTCTCTCTCTTGGTCATTCTCATGCTGGCGGACGACCGCTTAGTCATACAGTTAATGACTAATTCATTGTTTGAATATTAAAATATCCCTGCAGATATTGGTCCTGGCCACCTTATTTGCCTTGATTTGTAACCAGAGGTTCTTCCGCAAGCAGAAGGTGTACAATATCAAGAAAGATGAGCTCCACGTGCACCTTTATGATCACAAAGGTAAGCCATTAGAAATTTATACCACAGTGCATTTAAAATTATTATTTTCAAAGGAAAACATATTGTTTTTTGCTCTGTTTCTTCTTCTTCTTCTTCTCCAAACAAATAAGGTCAATGACCTGAACCAGACGTATGTCACTATGGTAACTAGTATTGGGTTACATTATGTTGCAATTTTATAGCAGGAGGGATTTAGACTCCTGTCGTCTGACCATATAATATGAATGTGTTTGAGTACGAGTTAACAGAGGAGACCATATGCGAAGGTATACATTATGCATATTACTATTGGTAGTTTGGTATGTGTTTGGTCCCAAAGCAAGTACTGAATTTTTGTTCAATGAATGCATTTTAACGATGTTTAAACTTTCAGCTCCTAAAAAGGTGTATCCACCGGGTGCCGCATCTGCAGAAAGGATGAAAATCAAAAATCAACAACGGCGAAAGTTCTTCTCCGTCATGACGGAATATGGTCTCCTTTTCCTGTTTGTTGTGATTCTGTTCTTCATCAGCCATCACGACAAAGACCCGTTTGCTTTCCACGCGTCGCAGACGTTGTCCGGCACGCTTCTAGAAGATCGCGATTCGGTAGGCAACATTCCAAACGCCACCGTCTAGTTGTAGTCAAGAATATTGCACGGATTTGTAGCAGATTTCATAGATCATTTCACTTAAAAACATACTAAAGATGACACATTGCGATACTTTATCGGTATTAATCTTGGTCAACCTCTCGTCAGACTAAGAAGTATTACATGGACCCTTTACTTCTTAAACGAGATTTGTTTTGTAAACTAACGTAATCTTTGTATATTTGTCCATCAAACACGTGTTAATCTGCGTTTGGCTTTGCCACAGATTACCACTGCAGACGAGTTCTGGACATGGACTGAGGAGATCCTTCTGCCTGTTTTGTACCCGTCGTTCTGGTACAACGGGTGGAAGATGAAGTACCTGGACAGACAGTTTCCACTTTACACTGAAGCATTTAAAATCGGTCCGCCACTCCTGACCCAAGTCAGGGAGAAGCCTGGTAGGAATCATCACTTTTTGCAAATTTTCTTGTAAAGTTGTTTTTGTATCATTGTTGCAACAATTCTAAAAACATGAAGCTTTCTTCCGCCCCTATTCAAAACCACGGGTTTATTTTTTGTGACCAGTCCCAAACCTCCTTTTTTACAAATTTACAATTAAAATTACAAATATTAACCGTTTTATACACGTTGCAGATGCCATGGCCCCAGGGAAACAGGGGTGGATGGTAGCAACTGGGAATGGTTCATCTGCATGTTGGCGATTTAATGCCACCGACATGGTGTCACACGATTCAGGCTGCGTCTCAAAATACTCCATAGAACTCCCGGCTCTGCTAGGCACGGCGACAGCCATCTTCTCCGACCTGCAGGAAAACGATTGGATTGACAGATACACAGACTATGTCGTTCTGGACCTGTCCGTATACTACCCAGCACAAAAACTCTTCAGCAGTCTGAGACTCACCGTAAAACAAGAAGACATCGGTCATCTTTCTACATCTGCAACAGTGGAAACACACAGGCTGTTCCAGTACGAAAATGCCTCCGATTACGTGACGTTGGTTTCCTATATCATCTTTTTATCCTTGTTTTTGGTTCATCTCATCAAAGAAGTGATCACCATGAAGAAGGAGGGAAGGAAGTTCTTCGGGTCTATGTGGAACATCTTAGCCCTGGCGAGCATGATAGGATCTGCAGCTGTCATCTGTATCTTTGGAATCAGGTACCACACCGCATCAGCGGCACTGGACAAGTTGGTCGGGGCAACAGGTACATACTTTAAGAATATCGATTTTTACAGTGTAAGTAACAGGGGTAAGGTGTCCGTTTTCTTCCGGCACCTTGATGTAAACGACAATATTAATGTTGAGAAAAATTTGCATCTTGAATTGTGTATGGTATACATCTATTGTGATCGGGGTGCTGGAATGAATGTTTTCCAACCAATCTATCCTTAGGCCACACCAATTTAATTTGTTGGTTCTCGGATTTTTTCAGAAAAAATATGAAGCGACAGGGCGAAAAAAACAGGTCTAGGCATCCTACTATAGCCCCAAATGCTACAATATGGACCATGAAGTCAACAAAAAAGGCTGGGTTAAAATTTAAAGTACAAATTTTGAACTTTTAATCAAACCACTGCCTTGATAGATGGAAAAACTGTAACACTAGGAAGAAAGGATTCTCAACGTGTTGGGGGCAAAATATAGA